CCCCCCCTTGAAGGTCAAGTTAATTTTATTCAATTTTCTTTTCTTTTTTTTAAAGATATTTTTTCAGGCATTTTTGTGCCTTCAATTGATAGGACAGGTGAGCGTGAAGGGGGGAGAGAGAGAGAGGAAGTGACATGCAGCAAAGGGCCACAGGCTGGAGTCGAACTGGGGCCGCTGCGGCAACAGCCTTGTACATGGGGCGCCTGCTCTACCACTAAGCCACCAACGCCCCTCAATTTTATTTTCTATATGGCACCAGATCACAACAGAAGTCATTTAAGGTTACCTTTCCTATAGAACAGGTCTATACCTTGTCCTTTTGTTAAACAAACTAAATAGCCTTATGTTATTTATCTTATTTACTATCTTATTTCTCATTTCTGTCCCTCTCTGTTATGTGCTATTTCAAACTTGAAGGTTATTCTTTCAGTCATTCAGCAAGTTTAACACATTTTCCAAACTCTAATTTAAAAAGTATAAGTACAGTAGACATGTCACCTTCAGTATTTAATGTAAAGACTAGTGTGTTTTTGGCATTAATAGTTAACGCAGCAACATATTTTCCCCATATACACTTCTTAATTATGTACAAGTATAGGATCTCTTCATCTCTTGGGTAAAAACACAGCAATGATGGCAGGGCTGTAATGCAGCAGCAGAGAGCAGCTCACATAGCCGTGACCCACTGGAATGATGAATATTCCAAATGTCCACTTCTCTCACACAGCTGTCCCTTCATTCATCGTAGGCCCCTGTTCCAGAGGTCCACTTAAAAGACTCAGCTCCCCGGCAATAAAACGAGAGAAATTAAAAATAAAAGAAGGGGGTGGATGAATGGCAGTGAGGGAGGAAGAGGACAAAGGGTCACAACTCTCTTTATTCCCATTACATTCCACAACTGCACTGAACATTCTTACAGCTCAGAAAGTCAACGCTGTGAATTTTAACTTTTTTTGCTTAAAGTGTTGGGGGATGGGGTGAAACTACCACTGAATTTTGGGGATTTATAAAGGGCAATGGGCAATGCCACTTCCCCTTCCCTTCCTCAGTGAGATTTGGCTGCAGTGGATTAGGCCTAATATCAACCATATGGCTGCAGTTAGAACGGTCAGTGAAATGATGAGGAGGCTGAAATTAGCCAGGATTTAGAAGATTTAAAAGTATCTCCATTTCCCAACATTTTAAAAAAAGTTTTTAATCTGCAGCGTTACTCTAATAGGAAGTCAATGGTGAATGTGACCTGGGTCGGTTAGTATTTCGGTTGACTCAGAGTTTATGTTAGTCCCATGGCAATGGAAACTAATTTGTTTGGTTGACACTGGATCTGGTCCGCGTCCGAGAAGAGGAGAAACACTGACAGAAGAGAAGCATTCCAATTGGCAAGGGTAGCCACAGCCCTCCCGCAGGAAAAGAGACTGACACTTATCCTGCTGTCAGAAATGACTCTGACAGCTCAGGATGACAGTATCAATGTTTTTTTTTAATTTAGATTATTATCTGTAGCTGACAGCAGGAGGGAACAATAGCCTAGTCAGAAAGAGTTAGAGGAAGCCAGAAGTAAAATGAAAGAGTAAAAGAGAGAGGCAAGTGAAACAACATAGGTGACACTAGACTCCTAATAAATCAAATGATCTGTTCAGGTCATTGAATTGTTTCAACCAGATCTTTGTTTCTTGTGCTATTTAAAAAAGGCAACTGTGCACAATAATCATACATTTGTCTTAATCATCACTGTAAATGGTCTTTTTCACTCAATGGAGCGTGATCATATATCATACCCATGAACAGCATTCAGTGACACATGGGCAATACCCTCGTATACTTTTGCCATTAGACAGTGAGGGATTGCACTTCATCTCGATCTAATCTGAATTTCTCAAGTGTTGAGCGTGTTAGAGGTTTTTGTGTGTGTGTGTGTGGTGGTGGTGGTGGTAGTGGGGGGGGGGGGTCTTAACACTTGTGAACGTCAGTCGGGTGTCACATACAGCTTCCCAGCATCACTGAAATAAAATGCTCAACAATCACAGACTAAAGCACAGAGACATTTGTGAGCCAAATATAACATTTCAAATTGAAGGGAGAACGCTTTATCTCTTAATGGGAACTTCAGATCTTTCAGACCTGAATAAACAATCTTGAGTGCTGCAGCTGAGGAATGAGAAATCCTGTCTGTCTTAAAGCTTCTGCCAGGAGAGTGACACCTAATTAGCCAAGAGGACCCTATTCACTTTCTCAAGAGCTTACAGGTAAAGAGACAGGGGGAAACAGTGTTTCAACAAGCAGCATGGAGAAAGAAACTCAAGTATGTGTCAGCGCAGACTAAACACTTCTGACAGTTGCCCTCCAGGTAAGTTTGGGGTGAGAGCGAGGACAGGAAGGGTCAAGGACCAGGTGGCTGTGACTCAAACAAGACAAGCTCTTTCTTCAGGTCTCCAGGGGGCTTGTTTGACAGAGAGAAGAGAAGAGAAGAAAAAGAGAAAGAAAAAAAAGATGGAAAGACAGAGAGTATAAGGAAGATAGGAAGAAAGAGCGAACAAGGTGGAGAAAAGGAGAACATGACAGATATAAAAAAGAGAGAGGAGGTGGCAAGGTGAGCAAACAAGCTCTGTGAGGAGGAGTGAATTAGACAATACCTTTGCCGCTGCTGTTCTCCATTGTGTAGAGATAATCCATGTAAAAAGCACCAAAGCGCTGCATGCCTGCTATCTCTGTATAGGTCTCCTGTCAAACAAAAGTAGAGTTAGGTAAACATAGCAGTAAGGGAGCAAACAAGCTGATAGCATTTAAGAGTGGCAGTGACTGGGGTCACGGTGGACATGGCAAAGGGGGTCAAATGAGAAATTTCAAAAAGAGTAATTGAAGGATTGATCTGCTTAGTGGGATATCACTTTTTACCAGCCAACAATATCACTAATATTTGGAAGTATTTACAAAAACTTAGAATGAAAGGAGATACTTTATCATGGCAAGAAGAATTCCAAGTGTCTCTTATCTGGAGTGAAATTAAAACTAACTGAATTTTTCAATTAACTTTTTAGAATGGAAATTCAGATAGAGAAGAGAGCACAAAGAAGAAGACACTTAACTAATCGTTATTATACTCTACGGTACATAGGGAAGTAATCTAGCACATATCAAGTCTGTTCTTTATTGAGTAATAAGCTACTGATAAATGGAAGTGAAAGTTTCCTCATTCAAGTGGTGCTTGGATATACGCCACTGGAAATACGTACCTTATCTACTACAAGATAGGACTTTTTCATGACAAATCAAAACTGTCTGACTGGGATTATGGCTGACTTTCAGTATGAAATTGTGAAATATTATTTGGAAATATTCATTAAGATAGCAAGGTGCAGATTTTAAAAACATGAATGCAATGTAATGTACCAGTGAGCATGTACGTGTTTGGAAAAAAACAATACATGATGGTTATTAGGGCACTTTGTAACTGTCGGTTACCTAACACAAAAATAGTGTGTAACTTTCATTACATACAACATTAGCGAAGAGGCAGGGGTCATCCTGGACAGGTCACCAGTTTATTACAGGACCAACACATACAGACAAACCTACTTAGATGAACCTAGATATAGGTGAAAGAACTGGGATTTATCACATGTTTGAGCTACCTGGTTGTATTGTTTTACTATAACTCGTCATCATTTATTAGTCTGCAGGTTAAGAGCTATTGCACCTGTCCTAGACAATATTTGAAAGTTATATTTCTACTGCACATCAAACCACTAGTGAAAAAAGAGAATGAGTGAGCAAGCAAGAAACAGAGAGAAAGAAGGAGGGAGGCCCCTCTTGCACACACATTTAACACCCCCACCCCAGACTTACTCACTAGCTCTCTAAACAAAGATTTCAATAGAGCCTTATCAGTCAGGCAGGTTAATGAGTAATATTTATTAGGGGACCTCTAATGGCTCTGGCATGCTTTTGGATCAAAGCCATTGGCTGGTTTCAAAACTGCTAATGAATTAACACTAAAACCTTTGACTCTTTAAGACTTTAAAGTATGGATAGATGGATGGATGTCCAAACAATTGCTTCATTGAGGGTCATGAACATTTCTGAGCAGAGTCAACACTAGAGCTGTGATGGCTGATGAAGGGAGCTGAGACTTATCAGGAATAATGGCTTTAACACTACTGCTTAGATAGCGGGAACATTCCTCTGCTGCAGCCAGCAGCTGGGTGACTGACAGAAATAATCTCAGTGGCAGTGATTTAAACTAAAATGATGTATTTCCAGCAGAGAAATTAGTGAGAGTTAAAAAGGACAAAATATTATATTAACCTAGTACTATCAATATGATAATAGTTGTCATTACAGCTATTCTAGATGAAACCTGAAGCAAGACTGGATGTAATTATATCGGATTGTTTACTGAACCCAGATTAAGTATTGTATTGAAGTGTGCATCAGTGTACATGCTTTAACAAGTTGCTTAAGCCATAACCACACTAATATGTGTTAGGGAACATCTTTTGTTCTTTAGGTTGGCTGTGACGTGCTTCAGTGAACCCTTTATGTTTCTGAAAAGAAGGAAACATGTCTTAATAAAATTTCTATGCATCATTTGTTTGTTCTCTAAACAGTTTGATGACCTCAGCACTACAGATGTTTTGTTTAGTGAGAACTGTGTCAATGGCAGGTGCTGTTGAAGTAAACAGCAATGGTGAGCTCATTATGTTTTGTATTGCTGTTGGTTAAATAAGTGCGCTGGTCTATCAGCCCAGCTGTGAGGTGTGTGTTAAGTTGGTTGTCAGCCTGGTTTGGAACTGACTGCTTAATTTTTGCCATATGGTTTGCTATCAGTTTTGTGGTTGTCCTTTGAGGGCTAAGCGGTTAGTCTTCTGAAGTAAAAGCTTGATTGCCAGTGTAGTGTATATGTCACAATCAACCTGTAATAATGGTTGGACTCACTTTAAACAAACTGTTTTACTGTTGAAGCTGTGTAGCTGCTCTTAAGTAAATACTCTCTGGGGACCTCTATCTGAAATGCATGGTCTGCTATTGCATTTTGGCCATCCATCCAAGCAAAGTCAGCCCTTTTTTAAACACCAAAAACAGATTTTTTTCCCCCCAAAAAAATTCCAGAATAAACATGTTTGGGAACATTTTTTCATTATTTTTTTTAACCTTGTGATTAGCAGCATCCAGGATGAACTCAGCCCTGACTCCGTTGTTCTCTGGACTGCGGTAGTCAAAGAGAGAGTTGGTAAGGTAGGTCATTCCTTTACTGCTTAGGCTGTCCCCACAGCTGAAGAACACTGCGTCCTGTGAAGACAAAAAGAAAAGAAAAGAGACAAATGAGTTGAGGTATGAAGGAGAGCACGCACAGACAATGTAAGGCATACTTAAATTTCCCCTCCCGACACATTTTTAGGTACGTAAAAAATACTGCTCTGATAAATATTTTGTGTGACATGGTTATGCTTACTGAGTGGAAGGAACTTATTACTTACTAATATTTTTACTTGTCACAAAAATACAATCCAGCCCTCAGTACATAAAAGAACATCTTATGCATAAGTATTTCAAACAATTTAAAGGGCCAGTGTGTAAAATGGGTTGAAAACAGTGACATCAGTGGTCAAATTCTAGATTGCAGGGCTCACTCGCTCACCCCTCCCGTCGGGTAAATGACGGCGGCCTCGTAGGGACAAAAAGCCTTGCGCACAAGTTTTTCAGGAGTAGGTCTATCTAGCGACGAGGTGAATATTTATTTAGAAATCTAAACCATGTTACGATATTGTAATGAATCCCTCACGAGCAGGAGACCAGAGGAGCGTTCGGGAAAAAGGCCAGTTTATTTGAGCACTCCAAAAACTCTGGTAACACTCCAGGGGGTAAAAGACTCCGTCCCAAACTCTGACTCTTCTGGCGTAACAGACACACTTCATAGACACATACTCGTTTACCATACCGAGTGGGGACCCCCTCCCCCCTCTGCTCCACCAATCTCCAGCCCGCACACTGACTGACAGCGTAGCTGGTAAACAGAGCTCAGCTGTTTATTTAGCCTAGCAATATCTCCGGACTATAGTAGCTGCAATGGACGACTCTGAACGCGATTTTGAAGAGATTCTTGTAGCGGACACAGACCTAGAGCCATACCTGTTTGAGCCGGAGCATACAGATAAGGAACTCCATGTGTTTGATGCTGAGCGGGCGAGAAGAGAGGCTGAATGCACAGAATGGGATTCGGTGCTACTGCTACCATCGTTGGGGAGATATATCATCAGGAGGAAAAGCGCCGCAGAGAGTGCATCACAAGGAGTGAAGTTGCGTCTTCTTTTCCTCGCAGATGACGGTTCGGGTTCATTCTCTCCTGTTGCATGGTAAGTGTGGTCCATTCGCAAACTTTATAACTAAAAAAACTTTTCACTACTATCTATCGACGAACTACTAACACTCTCTGCTGTTTCCTCCTCCTTCTTCCTTCCTTCCTCTGTCTTCGTTGGTTCATTTATACACGCGAAACGCGTTCTCTGGCTGGCTGGATTGTCCACTCGGTCTGCCGTACATACATGGCGGCGCAAGATGGCGACCTCTCTAAAGCAAGGCCCTTGCTATATATAGCAAGGCCCTTGCTATATATAGCAAGGGCCAAATGAATTTTATTTTATAGTGATTATACACTTATATAAACATATTAATGGGTAGAATATTCAGATTCAGATTCAGATTGACAATAAACCATGCCAAATATTACACACTGGCCCTTTAATATAAATAAATTGCTCTCCCCTATTAAATGAAATATACCATATGTGAAAGCACAATTAAAAAAATACCTTAGAAATATAACCATTAAAACACACAGTTAATACATGGCTGACGAAATACACTGACTTCAATTGAGCCCTAGACGTTGCACTGTACATGAGCGGATGATGAGACTGCTGCTGACACAGTGATGTACTTGTGGCAAAGACAGAACATTATGGTGAATTACAGAAAGACAGCTGGATTTCGCTCTTCCATAAACAAACCAGACCACATCTCTACCTCCTTCTGAAAGCTCTTGGGAGCAATGGAGGCTGTGGAGACATGGTTTAGGTGAAAGTGATCTCTGTTCTGGGCTTTTAAATTCTCCTTCTTTATCTTTCTCACTCAAGTTTTCCGCTTTTTTTCATTTTTCCTTTAGGTTTTTAGGCTGTCTTTACCTCCTCACGTCGGTTCATGTTTTCTTCAAAATCCCGGACTCCCATGATGCCTTTCAGGCAGAGCGCCCGGCAACCCACAAAGCCAATCTGACAATCGAAGAAGGGCTCCCCCATCATCAGCACCTGGAATAAAAACCAGAGGAAGAGACTTTAACCAGTTTTTATAGTCCAGATTTATTCACCTCTACATGAAGAAGAATGTGGGAACTAGATAAACTCCGGAGTCCTTTCCTCTAGTGAAATAAAATAAGGAATACAAAGACCTGTACAGTTAAGAAAAACATTGATTTAAAATGAATATTGATATATTTATACTAATCATGAATATACTGTATGTATGTACTATATAAGTTAAGACCAAACAGAAGGGGAAATGCTAGCGTCAGACTCCTTTCCTTTTCAAAGAGAACACCCAGGATGTAAAATGTCTTAAATCAGTCAACAGAAGCCCAGTAAATCCATACCACTGCAATCACTCACAGAAATTAATTTGACTGAATTACCTTTTAAATCGCAATAAAACATAACATTTGAAATTAATGACAGTTTGAGGCTCAATTTATTGTGGATTATCACAAATGGGGTTCTCCACTAGGACCAGTTTGAGGCTAATTTGGTTTGTGGTGCTGTTGAGGTTGTGGGCTCATTTCATTGTGATCAAAAGAGCAGGGGTTAGACAACTTCCATTTTCCCTTGAGAGTGGTGAGTGCATGTGTGAGTGTGTGGTAGCAGTCCAGCAGACCCTGTAACCAGTAAGGTGTGGTTGTCTCTCACTCACCGTGCCTTTGCTTCACCCAGCAGACAACTAAACAGAGAGCAATCCAATAAAACTTTACGTTTCACCACACAATAATTACAAGGCCTAGTTTTCCCTGTTTTACTAGCCATCCCTTTGCCTTTCAGCGCTCTCACTTCTGGTCCCAGTTCAGATTGCTCTCTCTCTCTCTCTTCCAGCAAAAGCATAAATTACAGAAATTGGAACTGGAAATCTCTCAGAATTCTCACATCTGGTAAAAAGCTTAGGAGCAGAAAACTCCTTTCCTACTGTGACCAGGTAATCAGAGAAAAAGGTTTAAAAATATTTTCTACACCGAGGGGGAAATGCGGAAATGATCAGACTTGGACCTGACTCAGACACGGATTCCACTGTGTTCACAACAGGCCACGGATTAGTGACCTGGAGAGGCTTTATAAATGTACTTAAGGAGGGAATTAAGAGCAACCTCTGTCCAACTGTGAATAAGGAGACACTACTAATAATAACGAGGGATCACAAGGGAGGGCAGGGATCTTTATAGGTCTGTCCAATGGTCTGGCCATAAAGGGTAGCAAGGTTGTAGATGGGTACAATTGGTAGAAGGCAGATATCAGCAGAAAAATCAATCACTGTAGTTGAAAAAGATTAATGGTTGGGGCTGATCTTTTTACATAATAACATTCCTCATCATAAATATTGTTTATAATCTAGAGATGGACAATATGATTGAAAATCACACATTTCATTTCTCTTTTTTTATTTTGACACTTGGTCTGGACTTGGGTTTTTTGGTCAGTTAGTTAAACAAAAGTTAAAAGAAATCTGTCATTGGTTCTTATAGCTGTTCTCTGCTTATGGTATGTAATGTGGACAATTTATCAATTAAAAAGTGCAATATGATTAAATCTGCAAAAGACAGTAAAAACATAATCATAATTGAAATATTTCTTGAGGCAACAGGGTATAAATTAAGCTCTGGCATCTTACCTCAATAGTGATTCCCTCTTGCTCCAGGCATAGGACCTCTCTGGACTTGACCTTCTGAGGACTATAGTAGCTGCTCTCTGACTGGGTTTCTGTAAGCTGAGAAAAAAGACAGAAACCATTTAATATTCATAAGAAATGTGGGAAATAAAAAGACTCAAATAATTAGTTAAAATCAAATAAATACATTATTCAGCAAATTTAGCAAGTTGTGCCTGGGTTAAACAAGAAAACCATCAAATTTTAACAATTTTATTCGAATCCGTGACAAAAAAAATTCTTATAAACTTGAAAGACTGAAATGCTTCAACTCAGTGTCGCTAAGAAATACATCAAAGCAACATCAAAAGAACATGAAATCTGAAGCCTTTACAGAGTTTAATTTTGTGTTACAGTTAAGGCTTTGTGACATCCAAAAAGTAACTAGTAAACCAGCAAAACAGATCAAAATTGATTAAACAAGCCTGCAGTGCTCAAATAAAAGTGAGTCAAATCTCCACAAAGAAGAGGTTTTGCCACCTCAAAATATGGGGAGATGACAAGGGAAAGTAAAGTTTTGTTGACAGAGTAAGTAACGTATACGGTAATAATATGGATGTCACAAAAATCCAACACTAAAAACTGGAAACCATATGTCTCACTGTGCGTGTGTGACCGTGTGTACCCACAATTCACTGCTGAAACAGATACATGATTTGAAAAATAAACAAAGGCTATGCATGTCTTTGGATGTGGAGGGCAACGGGGCCCTGGAAAATAATGCTTAAAACCAGAAACAATAACATCCAAACAAGGACAGATGACATTTTTTTAGATCAGAGACTGGATGCCAGCTTCAGGACTTTTTGGTTGTTTTCTCTTCCAAGTTTGGACCCAGGCCAAAGACATTCATCAAACCACATGACAGCCGCTTCTCTCTGATGCTTGGGGAGGCCCGCTCTGGCTTTATTGGGGACGACAATCAGAACATGACTAAAACACTTGGGATATTTAGGGGTAAACTGAAAATGTACAAGCGATTGTTCACTCAGGTGGACTGATAAAAGAAGGGGGATTGTTTATTAGTGCATTAATTCTGTGTGTAGAGATAGTGTGAAGGCAGAGAGAGAATGAGGGTGTGTCTGGTCAAAACCAGTTGGTTGAAATGAGAGGGGTACAGAGCTGTGATGCTTTTGAGGTTGGCCAGTCTAAAAAACTTTGGGTGTAGAGGAGAGCTGTGCAGGCCCTAACCCATTCAACTTTTAACACAGGAAGCAGGTGCCGAGCAAGGAGCAGCTGTGCCTTATTATCCCTACTGATGGAGCAGACTCTCTCACCCTCGCTCCCTTCTGATGGTTTAATCACGTGCAGGGACCACTCCGCCCCAACCCGCAGGTCCCTGGGAGCAGCGGTGAGCAAGGATGTTAAATTATCTGAGTAAAAAATTGCTCTGTCTGACAACGTTAGTGCATAGTAGCACTGACACTGTAGAGCTTCCAATCAGACACAAACATGATGACAGTTAAAACAATAAGAAGATTTGCCAATTTGGCATTTGTTGTGCTGAATGGACTGGCAGGATTTTTGACAGTACCTAGGCCTGAAACAACAGATCAGACAGAGCACAGAGAAGCAGCATTAGAGCACCAACACAACTGCTTTACACAGCCAGTAAAACACCGAGCTACTGCTGCTACTACCGTCCCAGCTACCTCTCCTTTATTATATTTTGGCCCATTAAAAGCTTTGGGAGTCCAAAACAAATCAAATGATTCTTTATGAGGCATCTTGGAAATGTTAAAATGTTTGATGTGAATATTGGGGTACTTTGTCTTTATGTCCATTTCTCAGAAATGTAACACGGTAGAGAGGATCTGATGGAAAAGCTGAATAAGTCTTTGCTATTGTTGAAATAAATGAAAATACCAAAACAAAAGAATGGCATGAAGTCTGGCATGCAATGAGAGTTTGGCAGGTGTGCAAATGTTAAAGAAGGGAACAAATGGTAAGTGCTGAAGTATGCATTATGTGTGTAAAAGTCATTACATTATACTGCCAATTTCTCTGATCAAACAGATCTGGGGAGTAATGGGTCAGCAATCTAAAAATACCTCTCTGATTTCATGTTCATGTCAAGCTCAGGTTCAGGCAGTGGCTGTTCAAAGACATGAAATTCCCTCAAACTAAATACTTCCTTGAAGGAAAGAGACGAGAACGTTTAAAAAACCATCCTTTCAGCTGTCTGCAATTACTCCAGACGAGAGGCAATTAATTGATTAAAAGAACTCAAACAATACAGGAACAATTTAAACATTATTAGAAAAGCACCATGGTCTGTTTGGCCTGAGATATACCTCCCCTTCACTGATCACACACACTGTTAAGTACACACACACACACACACACACACACACACACACACACACACACACAAGCAGTAATGCGATCTGAAGTGCCTGAACCTGAGGGGAAACGCAGATGAATTCCAACTATTCTGAGTGAGCAGGCAGGATTAAAGTTTGGGATCCATTTCTGAATAGTCATCATACCACGTATAATGTTTAAAACATTAACGTGACCCGAGACGCCAGTTAGCGGTTACACTACCCTCCCCTATACCACACACATAGACAAAGAGGATTGTAACTTCCTGAAGATCAAGCTGTTCTTTAAGACCAAAACTGAAAATCACCACAAAATATAACATGCAGGGGTGGGGTCGGCAGTGGGAATGAATAAACATTAACAGCAGCGAGGAAAAAAACTGTAATTGTTAACACAACAAAAACTTAAATTAGGAAATTCTATATCAGGGGTCATCAGCCACATATATTCAAGAACTAGATAAGTATTTTGATGTATATTTTAATCAACAGTTGTTCAATAATATAGTACATGTATTTTGATAATGATGAAAATGTTAAATGAGAGTTATGAGTTTGTCCCCATTCCTGCATGAAGATATGATGCAAGCAGATTTCCATTTATAAAAAATGGGAATTGGTTTCAGCTTCACACATCCAATATGCACCACGCAACCAGCAAAAATATACCACCCGAGCCCAAACCCGACCAGAACTGCAATCTGCCAACTTAATGCATTATAGTAGCATAATTGTCAGGACTGAGAACTGAGATATGGGACAGAGACACAGACTGAGCATCGCAGCAGGTCTGTTTAAGAGGTACAGTAGGTAAAGATATTGCACACACTAATATATTATATTTTATTATACAATTCTTAATATTATATTTATGATAGTTTTTTGGACATGACAATGTTTTTTTGTTGCCACTGTATACAATGTATTTGAAATCAATTTTATCATCTCTAAAGCAAATCTTAACCCTAAATCTATCACCATTATTGTGATGCAGAGTACTTGTAAGTACTTCACTTACTCATGTTGATCATTTCATTTTGATATATGACATTAAGTCAATTGTGTTTTTCGTTTTCCCCAATGAAGTGATACAACTCTACACAGGGAAAAAAAACTGTCGTTAACCCAATGCATGCTGGCCTAGATTCCAGCCCCCATGACATTAAATAATAATTTGGAAATGAAATCACTTTTGATGTACATGTTTTTTAAAGAGATGATTTACCTTGAAGGTAACAGAAGCTTTAGTGCAGTAGAAGCCTATGGAAACAATGGGGTCCTTGGGTGTGTGTTGTTGTGGGTTGGTGGGGATGCCTCCTGTCTCTCTCTGCTGGTAGAGTCCTTCCTCAAATTCCTCCTCTGCGCCTACAATGGCTGGGACAAAGGACCAAGCCCAGGACACCCATCCCTGGTCTCCCTCTTCAGGACTCCCTGACTGCATGTAGAGGTCTGGGCTGGGGTACTGGCTGGTACCCTGGCTTTCCATATCTACATCCATCCCTGAGGAGAAAAAAGGCATTATTAATTATAATGCAAAGATAAGCAGATGATTTTACTGTACTCAAAAAAGTGTTACGATTCACACTTCCAAACCTACAAAGATCTGGTTCACACAAAGTAGACTTAAAAAAAAGCATAACTATCCTAAAAGAGAATCCTTAAAAAACAGGGGTTCACTTTGTACACAATTGCGTTGCCAAATTTATGTTGCATTAAAATTAGCGTTCTGGTGAAAAATGCTTAATTCCCCCTGAGTATGCTTTTACTTCAACAGATAAATCAATTTAAAGAGGCAAGTTCTGAGAAAAAACTGGTCAAACAGAGAGAAAACTGTTGATAATGAAAGTGTTTGTGTCCTATGCAGCACACTAAATTAATTTGTCCATGCCCCCAGGGTAGTTTAATACAAGCAAGATGTTCCAGCTGTCAACTGAACACAGAAAAACAGCACAGACTACGCAGTTTCACAGTAGTTGCTGCCAATGCTCCAGCATGCAGGTGTGTGAATATCTGTGTGCTGCATGAACTCACTGCTGCATGAACAAGAGAGGGAGTAAGAGTGAGAGAGAGAGAAAGCCTGTTCCAATGAAGGCCAGAGGGCACAGTCTGTCAGCCAGCATCCTGACAGAAGAGAGCCTTGACTGGGCCCAGTGGATCACTGTGGTCAGGGCTGTCTAAGCTGGATCCGACGGCACAGGCCACATCCACAAACGCATGCAGAGGGGGTTGGGTCACATATTTGTTTAGAAGCCAACAGACTGAAATGGAGGCCATGATGGAGGCCATGATGGAGGCTATGAGCCATCAGCACAACCCCAGCTTGGCGAGAGGCTCAGGTAAAGGCTAGGGAGGGGCGACTGTGACGGTTTATCGACACCTAGACAGAGCAAGGAGTCAACGAGGGGTTGACTGGAACTCTGGCTACTGTAGGGGACAGGCCTTACACCAGGTGAAAAGGGCAACGTAGAAAGTAATGAGAGAAAGCAGAATGAGGCTGCTTGGAGGTAGGACTGACCAGACATACCTATGGGCAGAGGGCAAAATATGGGACAAAGCCTGGACAAAATGGAAAACAAAAGGGTTGAAGATAAACAGAAGCTAAAGACTCAACAGGCCAGTCATGTGTCGGCAACAAAAAACAACTGTACTGGCATGTTGGTGGTGTGCATAACAAAAGACAATCACAAGTGTGGTGAAGTCCATTCACTATCAGCTGTCCCATTTTTCAACTATTTTGGGGTTCACTGGTTCCCCAAACCACCATGCACCACCCCGGTCCCTGATGCCGACCTCTGAACTCGTTCCATCGTTTTTTTGTTTCCATACACGTCGAGAGAGAGGAAACTGATGTCAATACACAAGAATGTGTAATCCCATTCCTCGCGGCCTCACGTCCTCTGTGAGAAAACAATATTGTCCGTGAGGTCACAGCTTAGGAATCCCAGAGGCTAAGGCGGTGAAAATTATGACATATTTTAATTAAATCTTTCACTTTGCGAATTGGCAGTTGGAAATCCCATGTTATGGCTTTTTATCTCTCTCCCTTCCCCCCCAATCTCCCTGTTGGATTCTATCTTTCATTTCTCTTTTTTTCCTTTTTGTTTTCACTCCATGGAAGCCTTTGAGGTGTCAGTTTAACAAGTTAAGCTCTTTCGCTTCACGTCACAGCCCGACGAAGCCTACATTCGAATTGCAAGGCAATCAAAATAAAAGCACAATTACCAATCAAGTGATCAAAACAGACCGGCTTATGGAGACTTTGAAGTATTAATCCAAAGAAATGAGTGAAAAATTCCCAGAGAGTGATGTGGGCTGGCCAAAATGTATGCTGCTGTGGAGTATAGCACTATGACCACACAGGTGTGAAATACATCCAACACTATTCTCTGCTTCACCATGAGAGCAATCAAAGCTTGACTGGATCTTTTTGAACAACCCACAATATCAGTGTCACACCACATAAGCATGCACATGTCCATGTCCATAAGCAGAGCTCAGAAGCACAGTGTAATAGGATGTGTCAGGGTCATGGTTGGTTTCCATGAGTCCAAGGCCTCCAGGCAGCGGTGTATGTCTAAGCTAGCAAGGGAGTGGGTGTGTAAGTGAGTGAACAGCTGAGTGACACTGAGACAGTGAGAGGCGAGGAGGGAGAGAAGGTAGTGCCCTTGCAGGCCAGCAGATGTCCCTCCATGTTTATAGAGGAAGAGGTGGACTGGTTACCTGACCACTGAGTAAAGGCTACTCTTCTTGTCATCTTATATATCTGCTCGCACGCACAAACACACACACCTTTCATTTTTTCCAGTTACAAATTATCAGATCTAGCAGATCTGTCCATTCATCACTTTCTTACAGGTAATACAGTACACATACAAACACACTTTGGTGCACAGGCCTTCCTACTTTGATATAAATGAAGGGAACACATATCAACATGTGTCGCATATTGTTTCAATTTAACACTTTCAGCGTGACATTAACATCAAAATGTTTTAAAATCCATTTTAGCAGTCATGGCAGGAGAGTATAAAACGGTTTGCAAGACAAAAAGCTGTTTCATCCGTGGCCATAGACTTCTAAACTCAATGGCCTTTACGTCTTCACACCAATATTAAAAAGTGAAAAGATGATTAAAAAGAGGCCCTGTCACGTCACTGGGCTAGCATAAGGGAGCCACATGAGGTTTATAATGGGCTGATAGCCTGTGGCCTCTGGCTGATATGTGTGTGACGGTCCATTCCATTCGATAGGCCTTTAAGGCCTTTGAGGCTATCCTACAAAGGAAACACTCAGTCCTATAACACACACACACAGAGCGCAAAACACCTACGTACGCCATTGAACAAACAGAAAACAACTAAGAGACACACACACACACACACACACACACACACACACACACACACACACACACAGCAGCCACAGTTCTCGGTTCATAATTCTTCACATACTTGTTGAAACCATACAGCTTTCTCGTGCCGTGACCAGCTGGTCCATTCAAGCATGTTAGTCATCTATGTTTCCAACCGCTGAAATTTTTACAGTGTTTCACAGACTTCATTGAATTTCAGACAGTAGGAAAACTAGCCGTCTAATTCTGACTGAAAGGTTGCTTTGGTTAGTGACACACAAGCATCCTGCGCCATTCACCTATTAGGACCATTAATTAATGAGACACTGGCTCTTACCTAAAAGGGAGAGAATCAAATAAACAACATGCAGCCACAGTGAATCATGGGCAAAAAAACATTTTACAAGGCTTTTTCCACTTTGTTAATTGGCAAAAAGAAAAACACCTTCACATGGGGGAAAAATTAATATTCAAGAGCAAGCATGAGTAAAAAAAAAAACCACACACACACGAACTCGCACAAAAACGCACACAGAGGGCTTGGGATCCAGCAAAGACTCACCACAAGCAGCCTATGGGAAATCAAATGAATGCGATGAAGTACTATGTAAAATACTGGGATCATGTTTCAGCAATCATGTGACAGTAATTGTTTCCAACAAACTACAACACACTTAAAATAAATATGCATGTAAGCCAAATCAGTCACTGTGAGCGTCGACATACATTAATGTTGCAAAACTCCAAACATATCAATGGTAAAGGCTGTATTTTCTTATTACAGATAATAAATAAATTCAGCTGTAATAAGGCTACTATTATTATTTCTTAAATGTGTGATGAATATACTAAAACTATGCTCCTGAACCTAATCTCCACCCAACACACACACACACAAATACACACCTTCTACAGTACATACACACACAGCAACTCCCCCCCCATCCCC